CTGAGGCTGGAGGGGATGGGAGGCTGAGGCTAGAGGGGATGGGAGAGTGGGGAGGCTGAGGCTGGAAGGGATGGGAGAGTGGGGAGGCTGAGGCTGGAGGGGATGGGAGGCTGAGGCTAGAGGGGATGGGAGAGTGAGCAGGTAGGGGATGGAGGGGACAGGAGGGTGGAGAGGCTGAGGCTGGAGGAGATGGGAGAGTGAGCAGGTGGGGGATGGAGGGGACGGGAGAGCGGGGAGGCTGAGGCTGGAGGGGATGGGAGAGTGGGGAGGCTGAGGCTGGAGGGGATGGGAGAGTGGGGAGGCTGAGGCTGGAGTAGATGGGAGGCTGAGGCTAGAGGGGATGGGAGAGTGAGCAGGTGGGGGATGGTGGGGACAGGGGAGTGAGCAGGCTGAGGCTGAGAGCTGGAACCCGGAGGGCCCCTGCAGAACTGCACAGGTGTGACCACGGAGTCTCAGTTGCTTAGCACAGAAAAGCAGGGCCCGGGGGTTAAACCACCCAGCCGATGTTGGAGCCATTTCCCGACTCCCACGGTTTCCAGCCAATGCTGTGGTGTCATCAGATGCAGTTTAGAATGACGATGGTCCAGATGACATAATGATGCATTCTTGAACAGCACATTTTTTACTAGAAATTTCATGTTTCATGGCTCACAACTCATGCCAAGAGCATGTGAATGGCTTAACTGTGCCACTGTTTCAGCTTGTGAATTCTGCTGTAAGACACAGGACACCTTCAGCCTGAAGAGTTGGTCAGGAACAGCCTTGGAATAAAAAAACCCAGAGGACAGAGCAAAAGTTAATCTACAACGAGCAACAGAAGACCGTGTTTTGCAGCTGCTTTGCAGAGCCGTGCACACGCAGGTGACGCGACCGAACACACAGGATCCTGTCCCCAGGACAGCCGGGCTGTGTCACAGGTGCAGCCATGGTTGGTGGCTGTCCCCTCCAGGACCAAGAAGGGCTTAGTGCCATTTGGAGAAGAGAAAGGGCTACAGAACCTCAGTTTGAGCCCATGGTGGGGGGGTCTCTCACTGGGTCTCACAGACGAGCTCAAGGACGTGGAAAGCCAGGCATGACAGCAAATGTCCTCGAAATGGCTGGAAAACAGGGCACCAAGGAAGCTGCTCCCAGAGGAGCTCTAGGAGGGTGCATGGTTAGGACTTTCCTTCTTCTCTTTCGTCTTTTCTGCTTTTCTTTTTCATAGATGAATATGCTTACGTACTCTCCCTTTCTTCTTTCAAGTCGGTGTTCCATGGACTGCGTGCATCTTACCTGGGGTGCAGTGAGCATCCGCAGGATCCCCCCAGAGAGAAAGATTTCACATCTCCCTTTGAAAGGGAATGCCTGATGCAGCCGAGTAGCCTGTGACTTCCAAGTCCTCCCTCAAAATTCCACTGCGGAGAATCCCAGGAAAGCACATGACTGAGGTACAGACATCTGAAAATGGGAGGCCCCTGTTGGGGCTGCCCAGCCCCCCAACACTGAGATCCGGCTCCGACAGCCACACCCCCACGCAGGGCTGAGCCCAGGGGGAAACACGGGCTGTGAGCTGGCTGCCGGGTCTCCCCGCCCAGCAGGCAGAACTCCAGTGCAATTAGTGTGCCTCTCCAGGGAGGATTACCACTTACAGAACACCTTGCTTAATTACATATTCAAGCTTCTCTTCAAAGTAACTGACGAGTGGCTGGCTTCAGACAGCAGGGCAGTCTCTCCTGCAAGTTCTCAGTTCCTCAGAGAGGCCCTAGGAGGCCCACAAGCGTCCCCGTGTGGATGGGAATATTCTCATGGCACAAATGCCTCCAACCTGGATTCTTCAAGTGATCCAGTAGCTCTTCAGCCTTTTGATGGTAACAGAAGTTATTTACAAAGATTCTGCGGTGTAGCCCATAACATGAGCCCTGAGGTCTCGGGCATTCAGGATGCAGCAAATACCCTTTGTGAGTGTGAGGCAGGGGCGGCCGAGCGCGTGGCAGGGGTGGCCGAGCGTGTGGCAGGGGCGGCCGAACGCGTGGCAGGGGCGGCTCTGGGGTGAGTGCATGGCAGGGGCAGCTCCAGGGTGGCTGATGCTTGCCTTCTTGGGCACTGTGGTCAGCCCTGCAAGTCACGGGCAGCATGTTCCAGGAACTTCCTACCCAGGATGCGTTTATTGCAGATAACTCCAAGTGGCTGAGACTCTCAGGACCGCGCCTCATCCGAGCCGGGGGAAGGGCTCCAACACACAGAGGTCTCACGCATCTGAACCTGTTCTCAGACCCCGTCCTGCTGATCCCATGGTCCAGCTGGCAGAAGGTCTTCACGGGAGTCCTGGCAACATTCACACACAGACGGTTCCTCGTCCTGTGACCATCAGTGGACTTCTCACTGTGGAGCCCGGATTCGTCCCACATTCGACGGCGTGTCTCAGAGGTGATGCGGCGGGACTGTGTCTAAGGAACCAGCGGAGGCAGGTGGCAGCCCCCAGAGCAGCAACGGCACCCTCCTGAGGCTACTGCCCACCCCGGAGCCGCTATGACTCACAGGGCGTCACTGAGAGCCACACCGCCCCCCACAGCTCCTTCCGGGACTTAGAAAGTGAGGCACCAGGGTCCTGATCAGAAGCGAACCCCACGGCTCTGATGAAGGCCCTGCTCCATCTACTCTGTGCTAAAGTGAGACTCGGCCGTCTTAGGAAGATGCTGCACGGAGCTCTCCGCACGGAGTCTGTCTGGTTCCTGGGAGCGGCTGTTTGGTTGTTTGCCAGGCATCTTCCCAAAGAGCTAAATGCAGCCTGGGATTATCCGGTTTTAGGAAACAATGAAGAGTGAGATCCCACAGCTCTTGACAAAGCCCCACTCCGATGCTGGGTTCTCAAGGGCACAGGATTTGGGAGCACTCGGTGGAGGGTGGCGTGACGTGAGCGTGTTGCTGAGAAGAGCATTGGTTCTGCGTTCGGGATGCGTGCGGGCTGCCGGCGGCCGCAGACGGTCGGACAGACAGCCCCACCACAGGGCAACGTCCCGCACGCGGCTGTGGGGCTGAGGGCCGGGAGAGGCTTCCTGAGCCGTCCGTGGAAAGGACAGATGGGTGAAAGGCCCTTGCTATGGGAAAGCACTGCAGGCAGCAGGGAATGAGGCCACTGTGGGGGGTGCGGGCAGTGCCCTCTGGGGACACTTAGGAACAGTCTGGTGATGAAGGTGGGTGAGAGCCTCAGAGGGGACGCTGGGAGAAGCTCAGCACCGGCGGGTGGGAGCTCTTAGGAAGCGATGGCCACGCAAAGGGGTGGCCCCTGCAGACGGAGCCCATGGGCCCTGCCTGTCCAGGGCAAACAGCCAGGGGCGCCCACGCCTTCGAGCCTCAGCACTGTGGGCGGGAGCCTGAGGGGCTACGCTGTTGAGTGACCTGTGGCACATGTCATATCCCACGTGACCTGGTGAGAGTGGGGGGAGACGAGGTCGTCCACCTGTGCATGGGGGATGCAAAGTGCCGGGGAGGGTCCCTTACAGGGAGGTCAGGGGACCACAGACGTGTCCACGTGGACTGGAGAGGGAATTGTCCAGGACAGGGGCAGCCACAGGTCAGAGTAGGGGGACCAGGAGAGTGCCCACCCGTGTGGGTCACCAAAACATCACGGCGGCCACAGGGCCCTGACTGCGCCCCGCCACTGCTCACCCCAGCTTTCCGGAGCACAAACCGAGTGTGCTGTTCTCACAGACACACTGTTACGGCAACCGCCAATCAACAAAGCTCACTTTGCAATTTTGAACATTATTACAGATACATTTGCAAACCCACACTACCTTTTCCTTGAAAGTGGTTATTTAAAAACATTTTATGTCATTTAGCTCTGCATGGAGAAAAGCAGGTGGGGGTAGGGATGGGCAGAGAAACACTCACAAATGCAGTTAAGCAATTTTCAACAGTAAAGTGGCCCCAGCTCGACACTAAAAGATGGACAGAGCAAGGGCGCTGGGTGTTTAGCCCGGGACTCCCTCCTCAGCATTTCAGAAATGTTTCACTTTTTAAAAATAAAAAAATAGCATTTTGAGAGGATCTGTCTATACTCTTTTAAAAAAGAACAAATCATTCTTAAACGCTAAATCCTTAAAGGTCCTGTAGAATTTAGTTATCAGAATAAAACACAACCACCAAGTATAACTTAATAAAAGAAAAAGAAATTTTACCTGTAGCGGATTTTACAATTACACTCATTCTCCTTCTAACTGAGTCAAAACTTAAAATTTCCAGCAATTCAAACCTGAAAGAGAAACGCAGAGGGTCACACTGTCCACGTGGTTCCTCACGCGATTCCATCTGGTAGCTGCGAAGCTCTCCGCAGCAGAATGGCTGGGGCAACCCTGGCCCCTCGTCAGGGGACACACGAGGGCCGCTGGGTGAGGGCTGTCCTCACACGGATGCCCTGAGAGGCCTGGATTTGAAGGACGCGGTAGGTGTGCCAGTGAGGCAGAGTCTGGGCCCCGTGGCACCTGTGGCACCAGCTCCTCACCACGTCCCCACCCGACCCAGGGCATGGGCTCACATTCTGCCAAGCAGGCTACGCTCCCTATGCACCGACTCCCTCCCTAAACATTGCTGAACAGACTCAAAGTTGTGTCAGAGCTCGGATCCTCACCAATGAACCGGCATCACCCTAAGAGATCAAAACCACGGAAAAAGCAAAGGACACTGGCGTTTTGCCTGGTGCCGTCCTGTTACCGGAAGACTCAGAAAACCTGTGTGGCGTCTGGAGCATCGGAAGTGTTTGGGAGCCCCTGCTGCTGCCCCTCAGTCTCCTCAGGGCCTTGGACTCAGTGGGACGCTGAGGAGGGGCTCTGGCCACAGTGCCAGCCCAGTTCGGAGCCAGGGGTTCCTCGGCAGAGCCCTGACGGGGGCTCTCATCTAGTCCACGATCTCACCGCCTCCACAGCTGCAAACCCGGAGCCTCAACAGCAGTGACTTGCGGCCCCCAGGAAGCCCAGGGCGCTGTGGGGAGGGCACAGCCGGTGCCAGTGGAGGGCCCGGGTCACCCTGGAGCCCGGGAAGCCCAGGGCGCTGTAAGGAGGGCACAGCCAGTGCCAGCAGAGGGCCCGGGTCACCCTGGACCCCGGGAAGCCCAGGGAGCTGTGGGGAGGGCACAGCTGGTGCCAGCAGAGGGCCCAGGTCACTCCAGACCTCAGAAAGCCCAGGGAGCTGTGGGGAGGGCACAGCTGGTGCCAGTGGAGGGCCCGGGAGCCCCTGCCGAATCAAGGGGTTTGTCCTTTCCCTTCCACTGGGGAGTTTATTTTCCCTAAGAATGAAATTTTAAAATCCAGGTGTTTTGAGGTCGTCACCACCAGATCTTGTGTCTTTGCTGGAACAGTGACCGCACATTCATGCTTATTGAGTCAGATCTCAGAAAAACCATCCAGGGGAAGCAGCCCTGTGGCTGAACCCAAGCCCTTCTCTAATGGTCCAGCACTTCTCCAGAACATCTGGTAACATTCCCGGGGTGTCACTGGGAAGGAGAGGAAGCGAATTGCGGGAGAACATAGAGAACTTGTCTTTTCCCTCAAATACAGAACTTTACGAAGAACATTCTTTATTCTTTAGTCCCTTCACATCTGAGGGCGAGTTGCACATACCTTTCGACGTGGTTCTCCCTGTTTAATACCTCCATGTAATTGTCCTTCAGCCTCAGGTAGGTAAAGCCAAGTCTGCAATGCGAAGGGAAACCTCAGGGTGAATCTGAGATACTGATGTTCCTCTTGCACTATTTGCTTTGTATTTTGGTAAAGCGTTCTTTTCAAAAAAGAAATACTTTCAGTTAAACAGAGATTATAAACTGCATTATAAAGTTAGGAAATTATCATTATGAACTTATTTACCATCTCAAAAAATCTTCCAAGAGCAACAGAATTTCTGCCCAACCCAGCCCTCCCTGGTACGCAGCAGTGAGGCACTTTCTTGTCAGTATTAATTGTTCTCCAGCAGAGAGTGGCGGGCACATGGCCTGCAATCCTTGCTTCGATGACACCTTCGCTCACTGATTCGTGGGCTCTGTTGTTGCTGGTGAGCAGAGAATACGATGCCAGAGGGAGAGGGTCTCTGAGAGGCTGTGACCCCCAGACCAAGCCCCTTGAGTCACGACGGGGAACCAAGGCCCAGCGCAGGCCTTCAGCCAGCACGTGGGTGCACCCATCTGTGCGATGCCTCCTCCTGCATGCCTGAGGGTCAGCGACCTTCAAGGCCTTGTGGGAGCCGCTGGGATGGCAGAGACAGAGCATGGCTTTGGGATGCGAGAGGCCAGCAGAGGACCCAGGAGACAGACGTGCTTCCCAGCACAGCTGCGGCCATCATCGCGGCACCAGGGGGATGGGAGTGGAGGCCTCTGGCCAGCCCACGTGGGAGCAGCGGCTGGAGGAAAAGCTTCAGGGCGGGGAGAAGTCTCAAAGGCGGGCAGGGCAGCCTGCCCTCACTTCTAACACCTGTGATGAAGGCAGTGGCATTCCTGGGCACTTGTGTTCCAAGAAGAGAGAAACCCAGCTCCAGGAAGCCTCACCTACGCATGTGTGGGTTTACGCATGAACGAAGGGCCCCAGTGATACTGCTGACGTATCTGTGCTGCTCAAATTGCACAGAGAAAACACATCAGTTTAGCAGCGACAAAAACATGGCTGTAATGAGGGGAGAAGCGCTAACATGATTCTCACCACACTCAGTCCCTGAAGGCAGTGTCCGTTTATTACTTTTGGAGAGGGGAGATTCGGTATTACAGAAGTCATGAGCTGGGTGGATTTGAAAACGGCTTCCCTGAGTTGAAATTATCCACGTATCTGGAATGCCTAAAGCATTTTTCCAAGCGTTTGCTTAAAAGGTGGGCGGTGGGAGGTCGTGCACTAGCTCTGCTCTGCCCCACCCAGGTTGTGGCTCTGGGAAGGCTGCTGGGCCTCCGGGCTTCAGTTTTCTGAGATGCAGGAGGGATATTTGTGTTAAAGGAAGGATTGTTTCCATATTTCAAAGCCTGTGGTTATTTGGAATGACCTCTAACTTACTGCAGACCTCAGGAAGAAAAGCCAGCCACGAAAAGTCAGAGCTGAAGACTCATGCGCTGGGGACCAGACACTGCTTATCACGGTGGGAGGGGCTCATACAGGGACGGGGGTCCCCAGAACCTGGGCGCAAAGGCAGCAGAGCTCAGTGTGCAGGGCACGGGGTGGGGCTGAGGACGCCTCCAGATGCAAGTCCCTGACTGGGGCCAGGGTGGGGCTGAGTCACATCAGGAAACCCAGGCAGACCCTTGGCCCGAGACGTACCTCTGGACACCTTCGACCAGCGCCACCTCGTCGGGCGAGGATGAGATGTACACACAGGATTTCCCCCCGTCTGGAGACTTCCTGGGGCCGTCCACGCTGTCATCATCTTTCACCTGGACAGTGTGGCAGAGACAGAGGGCCCGGAAAAACAGCTCCTCGCGCTCCTATAAAAAAGCAGTTCCCAGAACCCACAAATCACTATGCATCCACTGAAGATAGAGGGAAACAGGCACAGACAGAAAACACGAAGAGGGGTTTGGTCCCTGCAGCCGCGAAGGCAGCTTGCGGGCGGTGAGGGGTTATACGGTGGGATGGAATTACGGCTTTCCATCATTCTCAAGCGCTCTGTGGTAACTGAAATTGACGGGTGATGAAGACTGAAACAGGCGTGTGTTCTTCAGCACCGACACGTTTAGAAACCACAGAGGCTTCACGTGCACTCGGAAATGGCGAACAACCACGAGCGTCCAGGGAGACTGAGTCACACGGCGCCGCGAACACAGACATCCACAAACATGCTGGACCCTGGCTGTGCCTCCGCCCCGGTGCCTGCGCGACGGGGACATGCTCCTAACTGAAGCATGTGTTAGACTAGACATGACCGTGGCACTCCTGCTGTTGACTCACATCGTAACGTTCACCCTGAAACCCCCTAAGAAGCAGGAGCTATTATCCTGCGCCTGCAGCTGCAGAATCAGCATTCAGGAAGGTGAAGAGATGTGTTCAGGGCCACAGCCAGCTAGGACCTGATCCCCAAGGCTGCCCTGTGTGTGGGAAAATTCAGGAATGGCGTCAGCCTGGGACCCCAGTCCTGCCCAGAGATGCTGAGATCTGGAGCCACTGCACTCAGGGTGTATGTGAGAGTGCATGTGTGTGTCTGCGTGTGAGTGTGTCTGTGTGTGCATACGGTTTCTGGGCATGTGTATGTGTGTGTGTCCGCGTGTGAGCGTGTGTGCATGTGTCTGTGTGTGCACATGGTGTCTGGGTGTGTGTGTCTATGTGTAAGCATGTGTGCACATGGTGTCAGGGAGTGTGTGTGTTTGTATGTGTCTGTGTGCACACGGTGTCTGGGCATGAGTACGTGTGTGTGTAAGCGTGTGCACACGGGGCTCAGGGAGAGTGTGCGTCTG